CCTTTGAGCGAGACGGACTCAACAAGACCGAGGTACTTTTTAATATGAAAATATCATTAAATACTTATTAGGTACCGACGGCTAGGGGTGAGTGGTCGACCGGAGAGAGGCTGACAAACGACTAGGCGTTATAATTTCAGAAGATTTCAGGAATCGAAATTGGTCTAAGTGAAACATTCTGACAAACTATCAAATGATCAGATCGTTCAACTGAAACAACTTTTTTCTCTCTTTGGACGAATAGTAGCGCTCTAATACTATCCTTTCAGCAGAGGGTTTAGCGGCTACTAGGCCGCGTTACTTGTATATACAAGAAAAGAGTATATAGATCAAAATCGAAAAGTTCATTCTTTACAAAGTGAGGGTTTTGAAAGTCGCTTACAGATATGCGTCTCAACTGATTTTCGAGAACGTCGGATTGACGCTGCTGCGAAGAAACACTTCGATGTTGATAAGAAACGGCTTCATCTGAAATCTTATTTATTTGACGATAAGTTTGAAAAGGCGGAATTATTACCTGTTGTTGTTTGTGAGAGAGTTTTGCTATTCGTAGATTGTTGACTACTATATCGTGATACTCCAGGAATAATGGTAATTGTACTTTTAGTTGCTGCTCGACGAACAGTTTGAGATGTGAAAAAGCTAGACGATGCCATGATAGTTTCGACAGAAATCTTGGATGTTTCTCAAGCAAGTGGAAGTGGATTCAGAAGAAAAGAAACTCTGACAGGAAAAAGACAATCAAAAACATGATTGAGTTATCACATATCAATCATGTTCGAGTTCTGTTCTAGTTCTGTACAAATCTTCAACTCATCGTTGAAAGGGAAAAAAAATACACTTATTCTTGATTCTGGAACATGAATACAACACAAGAGGCGACACGTCACAGTAGACAAACGAATAGAAGCTATCGATTCTTTCGCGCCATGAAGCTATCGCAGGATCCATCTTAAAAAGAGATGAACAACGAAAGTCAGAGTTTTTGAATTGTCGAAAGAGAAAAAAATGTTCATTCTTGTAACGAAAAAAGAAAAGGATTTCACCAGCACAAAATTTGGTAGAGGAAGGTTCATATATCGTCACATTGTAGCTGGTTGAACGACCATGACGAGTATACGCATGAGAAAGAAAGATGTAAAGTCCGCATTGATACCGTGGGAAAAAATGAACAGATGCGTCGACATGACAACCGAAATATGTAAGAAAAACAACATCAAAATCTGTTTTGAACATTAGTATAACTTTGTCAACAATGTAACTGTAGCCATTCAGTGGTCCTTGATTTTCAAATAACTGTCGAGTATATACTGTTGAGTGGGACCATAATGCAGAATAAATGCAATGCCAGTAAGCGATTTGACTACCTAGCGCGGTTGTACCGTTCGCCATTTTTTCAAGATGGTGTAATGCGCTTTCAATTCCAAACATACTAGAAGAAAACAAAAGAATGTATAGACTAGGTTCTGTAGTACTTCTTTATTAATCTTTTTGATAGGAACCCTTTTCCAGTTTCTTACATTGATAAATGGCAAGTGTTATTCTTTTGTTTAAGAACACACCTATGAAAGCAAAGTGAACCATGGTCGAGTACTTGCTCATAGAGGTGATACAAGGCGTGTGTTGAATACAATTGAACACAATCGTCGTAAAAATAGTCTATGTCTTTCAAATATCCAATGATGAAATGTTTCATTGGTTCGATGTCGTTTCGACTGTTGACAAATCGAAAAGTTCGGAGATAAATGAAATATAAAGAGAAATGCACAGTTCGATCAGGTGGAAAGATTTCGGTGAAGTAGAATAACATAGAGTAAAGTGGGGCAATTGCATAGGTTTTTTCAATAGTCTTTTTTGTTTTTACTATAATTTTGCCACACGTTGATATTTTTTTATGAGATTTGGTAGACAAGTAGAGCAAGTGCTCCTCTATCCATCCGTGCAAGAATCACCTGAATTCGACTCACAGGTGCGTATTGTCGATCTGTTTTCCATTTGCCCCATGACAGGTTCTCCAATTACCTACACAGAAAAAAAAATCAGCAGAATAATCAACCCTCAAAAAAGGTTTATAACTGAAAAAATCGTTTATCAGCTTGATCTACCCCTTGATGAACCCTTTTTTCTTGAAAAACCCTTGAAGGGTTTATTATCCGTTGCAAACTGTTAAACGCAAGGGTTGATTATCTCTTGATAAACCCTTTTTTCGCTTCTCAAATGNTCTTTCTTTTCGTATACACCAAGTCATTTTTACCGAAGATGTGATGATTATTTTTTATAAAATTCCTCGATGATATATTTTTTCGTTACGTTTCTAAAATAAAACTTTAATTTATCTTTTGAAAACCATGTGCATCTAATCTGTAGACTTTTCCTATCGATTATAATCATTCTTTACTACATAATGTAACAGATAAATTGATGCAAAGATGTCAGTGAGATTTGCATCACCGACTTTTTCAGTGCACCGAAAGTATCAGTGCATCACTGGTCACTGACGCAAAAGCACCGGCCCTCCAGTGTTGTCGGTGTCAGTGAACCATATGATGTGTTATAGCGTTTACCGGGAAATTCTATATGCTTTAGGCATCAACTGATTTCCCGGAAATTGAATCTGTTGATCGGACAATCTGAACAGCTGTAATTCTCATATAGGGTATAATGGGCATAATGGGGCATAATGGGGCATAATGGGGCGTAATGGGGCATAATGGGGCATAATGGACATAATAGGGCATAATCGGGCATAATCGGGCATAATGGGGCATAATGGGCATAATGGGGCATAATGGGCATAATGGGGCATAATGGGGCATAATGGACATAATAGGGCATAATCGGGCATAATGGGGCATAATGGGCATAATGGGGCATAATGGGGCATAATGGGCATAATGGAGCATAATGGGCTTAATGGGGCATAATGGGGCATAATCGGGCATAATGGGGCATAATGGGGCATAATGGGCATAATCGGGCATAATGGGGTGTATTTGGGCGCCAGAGCTTAAACTGAAAATTTTTCAATTTCCTTCATCTTAATATTTCGTCTTTATCGATATCATATCCATATATACTGATTCTGTCCTAAGAAGTTCTACCTATTATAGGTATTTTCGTCGAAAGTTTACATTGATTACTTCGTTCTCGATGACGAAGAACGTACTCTTTAGTTTGGACCACAATGTTCTGGTATAATTGTGGAAACAACTATGCGAATACAAGCATGAGTGATCTAAGCATGGTTATTACACGATGCATGTTCTACCGATTTGAAAATAAATAATTCAATAATTTATATATATTTATATTGAAGAATAGTTTGGAACAGATTTATATACGAGTAAATGAACAATTATATTCGTTTAGAGGCGAAGTGCAATAGAAAGAGATTTTCTTGAAATCAAGGAAAGGATCGTGTATGATTGTTGTATTGCTTTGGCAATTAAATAACGTAGACAACAAAGTCGACTGTAATGTATTGGATATATTGTAGTTAGATTATTATTTGATTTACACGCGGTAGTATTTCTTGCGCAAAATTCGAGTTATTGAATTGTGAAATATTTCAATAATTAATTCTTCAATTTTTGGAGACCGAAGTTTCATTTTTTCCCGATATCTATGCTGATCTATGTATAGATATTTTAATGAAAAAGAAGGAATCATATTTCAGCAGTATGAGATTGTTCTTTTTTAAACATGCAGTTTAGTGACTGATTCGAATGGAACAAATTTTACTTTTCCTTTGGGCTACTATTTTTCACTCTGGATGAAACAATTTCTGCATATCTTTCATTTATGTTAGATGAGAATCGCTTAGAAGAAAAGTATGCCGTTAGATTGTTGTAAAAACTGTTGATTTGCTGTAGAATTTATATTTACAGATATTTAGCATGTTAGTTTAATCGAATAGTTTACGAGAAGCATCCGAATGGCGACATGGTATTTTTGTTCTTGATGAAACAGTGTGCAAAATGCTTCTCATTACGTTTATTCGATCTACCAAATAACATCTTGATTCATAGATTCATGCGACTGGTTCGCTGTATAATGTTGTTCTGTAATAAGTATCGTTGTCTATTACTTTTGATTGTAGATAGTCATCGAGTTCTATTCAATCCAATTTATGTTCATAACGCGATAATATACTTACTTTACTTTTCAGTTTGTTAACATTTTAAAATAATACTTATCAAATAAAGGAATATTATGTTATTGTGCATTTGTCTTTGTCATAATGCATTATAATGCATTACAATAGTTCTGGACTTTATGATATAATGCCTTAGTTAGATATGCAGATTTTATTGTTCAACATGCAATAAAAATGCATTATAATGCGTTAAATATGACTGATACCGATTATGAATGATATCGAAGAATTAAATAAAACATTGTTAATAAAAGATCCATCGTTCCATAATTCACGGATAGATTAACAAAATGGATTGAAATCGAATGGNTCGGGCATAATGGGCATAATGAGGCATAATGGGCATAATGAGGCATAATGGGGCATAATGGGACATAATGGGGCATAATCGGGCATAATGAGGCATAATGGGGCATAATGGGGCATAATCGGGCATAATGGGCATAATGAGGCATAATGGGCATAATGGGGCATAATGGGCATAATGAGGCATAATGGGGCATAATGGGGCATAATGAGGCATAATGGGGCATAATGAGGCATAATGGGGCATAATGGGGTGTATTGGGGCGCAAGAGCTTAAACTGAGAACTTTTCAATTTCCTTCGTCTTAATATTTCGTCTTTATCGATATCATATCCATATATACTGATTCTGTCCTAAGAAGTTCTACCTATTATGGGTATTTTCGTCGAAAGTTTACATTGATTACTTCGTTCTCGATGACGAAGAACGTGCTCTTTAGTTTGGACCACAATGTTCTGGGATAATTGTGGAGACAACTATGCGAATACAAGCATGAGTGATCTAAGCATGGTTATTACACGATGCATGTTCTTACCGATTTGAAAATAAATAAATCAATAATTTATATATATTTATATTGAAGAATAGTTTGGAATAGATTTATATATGAGTAAATAAACAATTATATTCGTTTAGAGGCGAAGTGCAATAGAAAGAGACTTTCTTGAAATCAAGGAAAGGATCGCGTATGATTGTTGTATTGCTTCGGCAAATAAATAACGTACACAGCAAAGTCGACTGTAATGTATTGGATATACTGTAGTTAAATTATTATTTGATTTACACGCGGTAGTATTTCTTGCGCAAAATTCGAATTATTGAATTGTGAAATATTTCAATAATTAGTTCTTCAATTTTTGGAGACCGAAGTTTCATTTTTTCCCGATATCTATGCTGGTCTATGTATAGATATTTTAATGGAAAAGAAGGAATCAGATTTCAGCAGTATGAGATTATTCTTTTTTAAATATGCAGATTAGTGACTGATTCGAATGGAATAAATTTTACTTTTCTTTCGGGCTACTATTTTTCACTCTGTATGAAACAATTTCTGCATATCTTTCATTTATGTTAGATGAGAATCGCTTAGAAGAAAAATATGCTGTTAGCTTGTTGTAAAAACTGTTGATTTGTTGTAGAATTTATATTTACAGATAGTTAGCATGTTAGTTTAATCGAATAGATTACGAGAAGCATCCGAATGGAGACACGGTATTTTTGTTCTTGATGAAACAGTGTGCAAAATGGTTCTTATTACATTTATTCGATCTACCAAATAACATCTTGATTCATAGATTCATGCGCTTGGTTCGCTGTATAATGTTGTTCTGTAATTAGTATTGTTGTCTATTACTTTTGTCTGTAGATGGTCATCGAGTTCTGTTCAATCCAATTTATGTTCATAACACGATAATATACTTACTTTATTTTTCAGTTTGTTAACATTTTAAAATAATACTTATCAAATAAAGGAATATTATGTTATTATGCATTTGTCTTTGTCATAATGCATTATAATGCATTACAATAGTTCTGACTTTATGATATAATGCCTTAGTTAGATATGCAGATTTTATTGTTCAACATGCAATAAAAATGCATTATAATGCGTTGAATATGACTAATACTGATTATGAATGATATCGAAGAATTAAATAAAACATTGTTAATAAAAGATCCATCGTTCCATAATTCACGGATAGATTAACAAAATGGATTGAAATCGAATGGAACGACATTGATCAGAAGTAATTTGCATTTTTTATTTTCGTATATTTCGATTACACAATAAAACGTTTAATCAGTTTTCTTCTATATTTATATAATACAAAGACAATTAATTTTAATCACGTTTTTGTCTTCGTTTTTATAGTCAAGATTGTAGTGGTTAGCTGAAAGTGATCGATATTTTTATTATAATCATGGTACACATTGAGTTCTCTCGTAGACTAATGCATCTATTTGTATGGAAACTAGCTACATAAAAATCAATGTTGAAAAGTGAAAACTTCAATAAATACCATTGTTTTTATTTATTTGTGCAGCATATTAATCTTCAAATACGAACTTATCGTATTTTTTTAATCCTATGAAGTGAAAAAAGTACACTACTACAGACCACAGATGAAAATAAACAATAAAATAAAAGTATGAGAGAAGCAAAAGAAATACAGAAATAAGCGACATAATTAGCAAAAGCTATCAGGTTCGTTATACAAATTAGTATCAGTAACAAATAAAAAGTCAAAATACATCGAGTTCATTAAACAATAGTAGAAGAATTTTCACATAAAAAAGTTACTTCGTAATTGCAACAGATCTGTATAAATAACGTAAAATGAATAAAACAAGCTTACAATCCATTTGATATAAATAACGAAAACATAATATACATATATACCTTGAGTCAATCAATAATAAAATTAGTGTTTGTTGTCTGACGGTGAATAAGGTTGTTTTGGCTTTCGATCACGTTTGGTACGCACAGGTGGAGCTAAAACAGAGAGAAAAATTTTTTAAGTAAATAAGGTAAATAAACCTATTACTTACTATTATTTTCTTGAATGATTGCCGATGGATCAAGTACTATTCGTTCATTAAGAAAATCATTTTTCTGAATATAAATCGATAATACATTTGAAAATAACCATGTTTTGTGTTTGACATCAGCAACTGTAAGTGTTCGAGGAAAAACATCGTTTTTGTTCTTCTTAAATGATTCTTCATAATCATTGTAATGTATTTTGTATTTTGCTAATAAACGAGCAAAATCAAGTTGATTTTGTAGATTAGTTTTTGGAAATGCTTTTAAAAATCCTGGTACAAGTTCAATATCACCGTTTACTTTTTTCGATGCAAACCAATCACCTTTAAATAATAATTCATCATTAACTAATTGTGAAATTATATTATCGCGTAATTTTGATATGTTTTTAGTATGCTTGAGTTTGTTACAAATGTCCGATCGTGACATAACAACAGCATCATTTAAGATTATTTTCTGGTAGGCTTCTTGCAAATCTTCATCAATAATTTGATTATCACCTAGAAAAATTAATAACAATTCATCAAATAAAAATGCCAAGAATTTGATATTAAAACCAGTCCAAATGTGACGGCAGTTATTATACTGCACTTGTTTCCGAGTTCCTTAAAATTAGCAATTTAGAACTTACTGAGAGTAGTGTTTGATTGTGTTTGTACAGATGTTGTTGAAGATGATTCATTTAAATTCATATCAAGAAATGGTGATGTTATTTCTTCATTTTCATTGTTTCTTGATCGTTTCGGTTTAATGTCATTATTTTCTTCATTCATAATTCGTTTTAATAAATGTTTTTTGTTTCGAAGGAAGCCAGAAAGTAGTTCCAATGTTTGTTGAGAACTCATATTATCTAACAACGTAGCTACATCAGTTGATGTTGATTCAGCATGGAAAGGAGTATTGTTGTTGTTATTATTAGATAATAATTCAACATTGGGTAATACGGATCGATCTAAACATGACGAAGCAAATTTTCGTTTACTTCAGTATAAAGTCGTTATATTACTTTGATTTTGTGTATAAGTGTTTGTTGTTGGTTCAGCTTGATGAGAAGATGTCGGATTGTCGCGACCATTTCCAGTTGTCTTCGTTGTTGAATCTGAAGATTATGTATCAACATACTGTTCAAAGAAAATGTTAAGATTTATAAAATAGACTTACCAGATTGTGCGGTATTTGATCGATCATAATCGAGGACATTTGTTAGTTGGTTCATGATATCATCAACTGAAGGTAAAAGTTCGTTCCGATCGTGATAAGTATATTCAGTTGTTTGGTGAATAAAGCTGTTGTTTTGTGGTTCAGTAAGATTATTTGTATTCAATATTTCAGATAAAAGAGAAGAATTTTCAGAATGAGATGAAATCGTATTCGGTGATGAATTATTAATTGGTCGATGTGGTTCAAACATTACAGTTGATAATAGATCATTGCTGTTATTATTATTAGTTGGAGTTTGATCATCATCATAATGCTGACTGTTTTCAATATTTATGTTATCTACATATCAAAAACAATTTAGTTAAGTAACAATTTTATTCGTGTGAAAAAATTTAACTTTACTTTGTTCAGCAATTTGAGATGATGGTGGTATATAGTATTGTTTTCGACCAAATGACATTCTGTATTCGACCACATGTTTTAATAATCGTTCTTCCATCTCTTGTTGTATACGAGCGTCATTGAATAAATGACAGTATTCAATATAATCATCGTTGAATAGAATAGAATTGATTGCGAATGTAGTCAATTCCATGTTCATTGGTAATGATGACGACAGATATACATGTTCATAAGTATCAATATTGATGCCAATTGATTGAAGATAATCAAGCATGTCGGTATTACCACGAATGGTAGCCGGTGATGTTTTTAAGTAAGTTTCTTTTCGTGCAGTAACAATGTATCGAGTATTTTGAAAACCTTTTCTAAGAATACCACTTCGAACTAAGTCATCAATAGCTTGATGAAGTTTTGACATTTTGGCTTTTGATTTTCGATAATGAATAAATATCTTGGTAAATGGAAGACCAGTAATTTCATTATTGAACCAAGCTTTAATCAGAATAGGTGACTTCATTTTGAGCAATATGGATTGGTGTTCATAAAAAGCACTGAAATAAAATACGAATTTTGGTTAAATATTTCTTTAAGATTTAACATTTTCTCAGAAAACATGTAATACGACTTACTCATTTGATAATTGATCGCTGATTGAGATATTATCAACATTTGTTATTGGTTCATTGTTAGTTGGTGTTGTACCATCAAAAAGTGCTGAAATCGTAGATGAATTGTATTGATACAACATGTTTGAAGCATGTACAGCTGGTTTTTCAATAATAAATAATGGACGTTGATCACTTCCAAATTTTGGAGCCATTGTAATATCTCGTTCAATAAGAACTTTGACATTGTCATGAAATTTCATTAACCAATTAATTTGTTCATCATCAATATATTCTTTGAGATAAAGACCATCACCGAATCGAACAATATTAATACATTCAGAACATAATTGAATTGCGTACGACATTGCTTGACATAATCCGGCCAAACGAACTAATTTGTCGCTGCTCTTACACTGGAACGCTCGTTGTAAAGGTGTATATGTTGGTTGTCCTTTGGTATCACGTTGTAATGACTTTTGATATTCAGCATCAATGATACGACGAATGGCATCGTAAGCCGATATTATTGATCCATCCTGTTCAGTATCAGTTTCTTTAACATTAACAACAACACGTGGCTTTAAATTCGATATTGGTTCCGTTGCTGGAATTGGATTTGAGATACTTTTTCTTGCTTCTTCTATATCCGGTGGAACAGTAACTAAAAAAGGTGTGAGTTCATAAAAATAACTACAAGAAACAGTGCGAAGCTCCGCCCCCTCCAGATATAAATCGAACACACATAGCATCCAATAGATTCGATGATCTACCGTCATAACCGATCCCAAGTATCTGCATAGTAATTTGAAAAGGATATGAAATCATTCTTTCCTTAAACTCACTGAAATTCTCACAGTGATTTCTCGAATGTTGCTCACTCATTTATTGGATGACTAAAGAGCAATAAAAATACTTACTTAGTTTTGGTAAATCAATTGGCGATTGATGTTCACTGAATACAAAAATTGGTTTGTATTCTGCCAATAGACGAAGTACAATTAAAACATGGACGATATTTGGTTGTACCGATAAAATTTCAGATGGTATCGTATTAGGAGTTTTATGAACCGAAGTTGTTACAAATAAATATCGGCTAATTGTCCCATCGGACATTACATCACTGTTATACAGACGACACACTGAAGATAGTAAATTGCCAGTTGATGCTCCAAAGATATTTATGGAGCCACGTTTGATAAAGAACGACGATGATCCTGTTGTTCGAGAAGCATTTTTCAACACGTCGTAACCTTGACACAGCAATTTCGATGCGACCGTTTTCGCATCATTTTCCGTTCCACCAGCCAAATAAACACCAAATCGTGTATTGATGACATCAAGTTCATCGCTCAAAATAAAAACGTTCTCCTAAAATAACAAATACAAAATTCCTAATGTATATCGTCTATAAACTTAACATCGACAACATGTAGAAGAGTAATTATCTTCAGAGAGTTCCAACAAATTTCATTTTTGAACTTTTCACTAATAAAATTTTATTTTAATCGCTTACTCGTTTTGAGAGTCGTTGGTATAATGATAATTCTGTTTCGTTGTTTGCTATCAAGTCACTTGTACTGAAAGTTTCTCTTCCATTTACAAGTTCGACAATTGGTTTTGAAAAGAAGTGAGGAAATATTTTTTGTAATGCATTAATACTATTTTTGAACACTCGGAATAATCCAGATTTGTTTGTACCTGACCAAATAAATAAAAATGAAATAATGCATAATAAACAACTTAACTAAACTCACCAGGTTCACCAATTAGATGAGTAAATAAATTGATTGATGTAATATAACCGGTGCCATCGGGATTATAAAGTTCCACACCATCAAGCATCATTGCTGAATGTGCCATCATACCAAATACAAATGGAGCAATATCAACTCCTAATGCTTGATGTTGGTCGAAGAAACGAAATAACGCTGCTTGATTAAATAAACCAAAAATTGGCATAATTTCAAATGGTATTGGTTGAGCATTGGTCAGCTTGAAAATATTTGAACTGATCTGTGCTGCATATGAATCGCCTTTAGCAGGTGGCATGACTAAATAAAAAAAAAAGATATATATTAATCACTCAAAATATGATGTTCTTGTCAGGGAAAACAATATAACCTCCAACGCATCTGTCCACTAATTCTTAAGCTTAGAGCCGATTGTTTATTCATAGGTAACTGTAAGACTTATAACACTCACTTTCAATTGAGATTCAATTGATCAAACACTAAAAGTGCCAGCAAATTAATCGTAATAAACGTTGAACTATTGAGCCCAAGAGCAAATCTAGAATATACAATAGAACTTTGTCATTAAAATTTCTCATCACTTACTTGCTGTTTAATCTTCACACAAATAGATAAATTTTATTCCTTTAATCTTTTTCGTTGCAGTTGAATTAATGTTTTTGTTAAAAGTTCACAATTTAAAAAAATCTACAAAAGAGAAAAAGATTATGCCGGGATCAGCAATGTATACCATGTGCGAATTGAAAAGAATGCGAAAGGTACATTCTATTGAGAAAGAAACTTATGAAAAATTCTGATAATTAATGAACGAACTGATTGAATATAATCGTCTTTACGCATGGCATCTTTAGAATGATCTATATATGAACATGATGGACGTCCACCTCGTATATACAACGAACAGAAGGAAAGAAAATGAAATGTCTTTCTCGAATGTGTAGCGACAGAAAGGAAAAGGAAGAGAAAGAACAAATCTGTCCTTACAGATATCGTTTGGTCATACGTATAACGAAACAAACCTCTGTTGTCATATTCATTAAACGAACCAAAATTTATTGGTTATCGCGATTCTTTTATGAGTATTTTTTGTGAAACTTATAATAGATGAGAAAATAAATTAATAAATAAGGTATCATTTCATATGCGATGATAGCCTAATTGGATAAGTCGACAATCCAAGGAAAGGAAATTTGTTTAAAGAAATACTGCCTTAAAAAGGAGAAACAAAATTTTAAAAAGTGAAATAATTATTTCAATATAAGACCAATTTTGTTCATTGATCTTTGAAACAAATTCATAATTCTTTTGAAACTTGAATAATTTTTTGTCTTTTTTTTACTGAAATACGTTTTAATGCAATAGATACAGTTTCACATGTTTCTAAGTATTATATCGAATTTTCATGCATTTTAATGCATTTTAATGCATTTTAATGGATGTTAATGCATTATAATGCATTTTAATGGATGTTAATGCATTATAATGCATATTAATGGATTTTAATGGATTTTAATGTGTATTGAATTAGCAATGCACAGGAACAGTGTTCCATAAATAAAAGATGTTATTAGGAAATATTATCGAAATAGAAGAATCTTTTATCATCGTGATTTTTGTTTGTTTTAATAAAAGAAAACAAGGGCGAAAAAAACGAAATTACGTTGCTATAATGGAAAACTAAAAACAAAAGTAAATACAGAAATAAAAGAAAAACATATTCATATTACATGTGATTCATCGAATTAGAATCAACATTTCTCTTTTAGTGAATAAAACTACATCAAATCAAGATTGTCCCAATTTTCACTTTGGTGTTAACATTATATCGTTAATTGAATTTATTTCGTAAGATTTCAATGATACATGTCTACTAATTTTATCGATAAGAAATACACTAACAGAATTAATAACTAGATTTCCATAAACTGTACAAAATGATACGAACATAGCAAAAGAAAAGCAAATAATGCCATTCGACAAATATTCCTATTTATAGAGGAATGATAAGAATTTTACAAAGATAAAAGAATAATTGTCTATTGAATTGAAAAAATAATTAATGATTATCCTAGTTGAAACAGGTTCATGAACAGAGAAAGAGCTATTAAAAAGTTATTGATTTGTAACATTTATTATCGTTAATGCATTATAATACATTTTTTGTATAAAAAAAACTAGAGAGATCGTTAGGTAAAACAGCAACAGTGTGTTAGTGCATTGTAATCGATGATAATGTGTTGATAAAGTTCTCATGTGAACGATTTTGTTGTATGCCTTTTAAGACGTTCTATTCTAAATTACTCTATCATTCATATAGAGAAAATATTATACAAGATTTGAATAAAAAAGTCTCTTTCATCAATATAATTTTGTTATATGTTTACGTCGAAAGTGTATTTCGATGCTTTTTGACGATATACAACTATTTCAAAGCATTTATTGTTTTCTTTCGAAAGAAAGATAAAACAGATTACAGTTCATGATATTGTTCAACTCAATTTGTTGCAATGGAAAGCGTGTTGGTCGCTTTGGACGGAAATGTATTGTCAGTTATTTAGAAAAAAAAGAAAGGAAAAAAGCAGAACGAAATGGGAAGAAAAGCAAAATAAATGTGTTAAAGAATTTCTTATTCAGATAATGAATAACTCAAATTAAATATTAAATTGGAGTTTATTTAGATACGTGAAAAGGCACACTGTGTGTATACTGATACTACCAAATTGTAATACATGCAGATAAAACAAATTGATAAATCGATTGCATTATCTTTAGTTTTCACACCACCTACAATATGGGTAAATAGAAATGTAAAGAAAGAATAAATTTTTATCATTGAACTCAATCTTCTCTCTGAAATACAGTGAATATGATCGGATTTCCTAGATAATATTTGTATTCAATACTAGCATATCTCGTCGTTGCGCATGCTTCTAATAAGATCAATGATAATTCCAGTCACATGTAGTATAGAGTTAGCGAGTATTTATCAAACCTATAGTTTTATAAAATTATATGATTGACAACAGTCAATGTTTAGAATAGAAGAACCGTAAAAGTTGATGTGTCACAACAGATATAGCTATTGTCATTCTAACAGAAGGACCCACCGACATTATTCTGAAAAAAATCCATTTGATCTGATGGAATATGCATTATCTTTGTTTCTCTTATCTTTTATTAAGAAAATGCTCATATACATAAGAGAAAAAAATTGAATTAAATGATGAGAATCTTTTAGAAAGATTATAAGCATCATGATTTAATATTGATCAGTATCTTGGTATTCAGTGACAGTGTATTTTTCTATCAATGAATGATCTTTTATTATTATTATTGTTCATACGTTTCTTTTAATTTTTCAATTTCGACCATATAGTAGTGAGAACTGATGAAAATCAAATTACTTACTAAACTTCTACGCAACAATACATAAAATCTTTGAAAAAAATCGACAATCAAATTTTGTGTTGAATCATACCAAACTCATTGGTCAGAATTATCGAATGCATCCATTCCTCTTCGATACATTTTCATGATGCAATTTTTAGACTAAATCAGTATAAGATTTTACATTTAACACATGTGAAAATCGACATTTTCTCTATTTAACAAAAAACACAATAAAATAAATTACAATCCAATACGGCTTTATTTGAGTATCATTACATGTTCAAAGAAAAAGAATTGAATCACGAGTTAGTATAATACATATGCTTACGACATCTGTTAATGTAATGACCTCCATTTTTTGCGCCAATACGAAAATGTATAATGAACGTGAATTACATAACATTGCTGTTCAATGTTCATTGGTGTTTTTCTTCAAATTTATATTTGAAATATTATATTTCAGATATTCATTTCGATATTGAGAAAGTAATTGTTATGGTTAAAATTATGACAAGAAAAGCAACATCTAACGAAATGAAAAAATCGATCGACCGTAAATCTGCTCATTCGAGTAAAAAAGTTCATCATCGATTAGTTTTCGTCAGAAAACATTACTTAGATTCATCCGGTTAGTCAAATATTTCTCATGACCTGTTCAAAAATTAATAACTTGAATGAATACATTAAACTGAAATGGTTATTTATTTTTATCTTTAAGAGGATGAACCATCAACGAATAAAGATTATGTTGAACCAACAAAATTTGGTGAAATTTACGGCAAAAGCAATTCATCGAATTCTGACTTTGTGTGTGAAGTTTTGCATTTTGATGGTGATAACCAAAAGCGATTACCATGTTCCAATCAAAGTAATTGACAA